AAAACCGAGTTCAATATCATGTTACCTGTAGAATTAGATAATCTTGCGGAATTCTTGCAACAACTATTTGATGAACTAGAAATCTACTGGCAATGGAATGAAGAAACTGGAATATTTTCTGGCAATGCGAAAGTTAACACATGGTCACGTGCAGCAAGAAGACAGAGATTGATGAAGTCCGAATGTCAAGCAGAGTTACCAACTACCACTCTCGCGACGAATGAAGAACCGTTGTTTGAATTCGCATGTCATCTTGAGCTCTGTAATAACGATACTAATGCAACAAAATTGACAATTTCCTGGACGAGCGGTAAGGATCGAGGTATCTTTGAGTCATTTTATGGTCACGTAAAGAAACGGTTAGAACAGGAATTTGATATGGACGAATAAATCGGGTAAGGATTTGTTCGCATGTATAGAAGGACATTGAAGCTTTCTTTGATTGATCATAAGTGACATTTGCTTATGTCTTAGATAATGTACGATCATCAGTTTTAGGGTGTCAGAAATAAGATTATACAATAAAAAAATCTTTATTCAACTATCACTTACAATACGGCTTGGTGGAATTTATCGCGTGATGCCAAATATAACGTTATTGGTATTCGGAATACGTGGCGCTTAATAGCGATGAGATTTCGGTGCGCTTCACAATTATTATGTAAGCTTGAAGCAAAGATTGAACCAAATAATGCGCCGAATGTATTTCCGTCCACGTTGTATTTGATGAGGTTATTCCGGTAGGCATAGTGTCTATCGTCTTTGTTTTCGGCATGGCTTAAGAAGATTTCGATCGACATTATACTTAAGGTCTGAGAATATTGAAAAGCTAGTTGATCAATTTTTTTTGGAAAAACTGCTACCATTCGGAGGATATTTTGCATGGTATGATTCATTCTTTGCTACAAATATTAGGGGAACCCTAGGACAAAAGAGCTGACGATTGATTATTGTATCGCATTATAATATCAGTTTTGTATCATGGTTGGGAAAAGAATACACCGGGGGATTTTTCCTTTTCTTGATTATTGAGAACTTGTCACTCACGTCTGTCTTTCACTCATTAGTCTTATGGAAGAGGTTATTCAAGCGATCAGTGATGCCTATAAGATTTGTAATATTCGACAATTCATGAAAAAATTTTTTTTTACTAGATGGTAAAGGTTAGTTGAACCATTTCAGGCGCAGATTAATTGAATGGGGTTTGGGAAATATTTGAAGAGAAGAGTCAGAGTTCAATCTTATCAGATCAAACTATACGTTTAAAGTATTTTCTAATAAATTCTGCATAAATATGCGATATTATTTAGAACTCTTTATTACTGCGCATTAAAGTACGAAATTAATGTACTATATATTGTTTCCTCTATTCCTATGGATAGGTTAATATGGAATTTCGGTGAGATCAAGTTCACATGCCCGCTGTGTGCAGCTGTGATTTATAACATTAAAAGAACGAGGGTAATTCAAAACGGTTTTATGCTTTCGTGCACTCTTCCTCGACCAAATTTTTATCTTACCACGTAATATATCCCGAACTCCGCAAGCTGGCTCGAGATTATATGCGCACGTAAGGACTTTTCATTTATCGTAGCATTCACAAGTGGTTTTTGGACTCACAAATATATGATTTCGAAAAGTTTTATATTACGTGTCATTATAGCGTTCTTAACTTCCATCAATTGGTTTTCTATTGTCAAATATAGAAAATTTTTATAGCAAATAAAAAACATTTTTCAAAGTGTCGATCTAATTTATGAGAAAAGCAATAGATGTGTATATAATACTGTAAGTAAGTTAGCTTTTGGTTATATTTCTATAAATGTATGGTGGGATTTCGATATTATTTCAGAGGAACATATAGTACCATTAAAATTAATAAAGCTTAAGGGATGCCTATGTAAATAGAAATTCATGTTGGTTTCAAAACTTCTTCAATGGAGTCAGCATGTAACAGGACAATATCAAATAAGTTAGGAAACTAAGTTCACTAACGCTAAATCATGAGAACTAATGTCAGTAAAAATATAAACATACAAACGAAAGTAATATACAATAAATAATAAAGTATATTTTTACTTTTATTAGTATAGGAAGTAAATTTTCACACTTTCTTAGATAATTCCAAGAGAGTTTTGCAAATTTCCATGAGATCTATATAACATCGTGGTACCCTTGATGTGAATCATTGCACACTTGAATTTGGAAGTTTGATCTAGACGAGTGAGGCGAATGATCAAAAGGCACAGATATTCATGAAGTTTCTCACGTAATTATTGCCGAATGAGTAAATATCTGATTTTAAGGGCATATGTTTTACCGAGATTTTGTTCTTAATACTATATCAGATTTTCCATTCCATTGAATAAAGACTCTTGGTAATTTGGATTTTTTAAGACCGATGTGACAGTATGCCTTTAACTTTATAAAAAACATACAGTATATACAGTATACAGTATATTGTATGTACAAAAGTGTGACCCCTCATTCATTCCAACGAGCACTGTAAACAGTTGTAAATACACCCTTCATATTTTCCTAGAAACTTATAAGGGATCCATGATAATGGATATTTGTTTTCAATAAGATTAATCAACATGTATCCATTCATTTCTTTTTTAATTATTTTACAGGTCAAATATTATTTAATAATATATATCTAGCAATGGATTTCTTTCCTTAATAATTTAGCCATATGTTAATTAAAGAACCAACTTATCGAAATAATTACTTACTTTGATGTCAATATGTAGTCCTTTCTAGGTTCCTTTTAATACCGGTTCCATTTCGATAAAGTTCAAGTAAAAACATTCCAGCGGTATTTCCCATTTTTGATAATATTAGAACGATTTGTAGTTTTGTAGTCATTCCAATTCTATTTCGATAATAAACAATAACATAATGTACCCAAAATGGTGATATTCGAATGCTTTATGATCATCCTTTTTAACTCCAATCCCATTTCGACTAACTTCACTCACTCCTCCATCTCAGCTAATTTATAATAATATTCAAATGCTTTATGTTCATCCTTTCCTCAGATGACCCATCCATCTCAGCTGATTTTTGATAAAATTCGAATGTTCCTTTTTAACAAAATCCTTTCCCTTAACACTAACCAACATTGTACATCACAAATATCACCTAATCTCTGAGTTCATCCTTTTCAAACCCCAATTCCATAGAGATAGTAATAAATAGTTCATTCGAATCTCTCATATTAGCTGATTTTGGTAATATTCGGGTGTCTCAAAAGGAAAATAGGATAACAACTACCGCACAAGTAAGATGTTTTTTTTGTATTACACCGACATTTTACTTAATTTTTATACGTTAGATAAAAAAATCATCACTTGAGAAAAAAATTCTTGTGATCGATTTTTTTTTTGAAAATACAGTAGTATTAGTATAAATAATAGTCGGACAACCGCTTAATAAAATCGTAGCGGTCGCAATAATCACAAATTTATCATGAAGTGATACGTTTATTTTGTTTCTTTTAAACTTCCGTACTGTCTCGATTTTAGTAATACGAAAAGGATCATATTTTTATTTTTAGAAATTTATCATAAATTAGTTAGATATGCTTTTACTAATGCTTATATAAAATATACAGTATTTAAAATTTAAAATTCGTAAAAAATTTTTTAAAACATTAATTGATATTTTAACCTTGCTTTATTGCATAAAAAAAAAAAAAACGTATATATTATAAAAAATATTATATAATATAATAGAAAGTACAAGAATAATATTTAATATCAATGGTTGAAAAAAACTCTTTTGATTGATTCTATGACAAAATTTTTGCAAGAAGTTTATATTTTTAGGCTAACAAACTCATATTACTTTTTAAAAACAATTTGAAGAATAATTTCAAGAACTATATTTTTTTTTCTCTTTCTTGTTTATTTTTTTTTTTTTTGCACAAAAATTTGACTTTTAACAATTAAGAAAAATCAAAAAACATTTTTTATAAATGTAAAATTATAACAAAAACAAAAAAGAGAAATACAAATGAATTTAAACAAAAAATAAAAAACTATTTAAAAAATTAAAATCTTTAAAATATATTAATTTAAGAAAGCAGCAGAAACATTATTAGAACTATTAACAAAAAAAAAAACTCTTTCCACTATCCTCCTTTTTTCAAAAATTTTTCTTTTTTGATAATTTTCTTGAAAAAAGGGAACCAGTCTAAACACACAAGAAAGAAATCCAAAATCTCAGACCAAGCTATTAAACATTCGCAACACACTCAACTATATACATCAAACTTTTTAGAAATATCAAGGATAGAGGTATACATTGTTTTATTAACTTGTTTGACTTTTTTTTCTTAAATTTTTTAAGAAAAAGAAAAGAAACCTGAAAACTGATTCACAGTCAGAAAAAAGGAACCAATATCAACTTCATATAGCTTATAGCCAGGCCAGTACAGGTTAACACCTTTTTTGACACTATAAGGAACCTAAAAAGCAACTAAGTCCACTTGATAAATCAAGTTGCTCCAGTCATATCAAGACCCAGAAAGATATCAAAGCTCCCTAAAGACAAGATAGTCTAAAAGTACATACCCATCAAAACAACATACCTATCCAAAATTTTAATACACGAACATGAACACATAAAAGCAAGACAAAAAATAAGCACATATACGTACACTTTGTTATTCAAACAAGTTAATCAACTTGTCATACAAATATGGCAACAACTTTCAAACTTAGATAGAATTATCAACATAAACAAATAAATAACCAAAAATAAAACAATAAGATTTTCCATATTACCTAAACAGATACATATAAACAACAACAATACAAAAGTTAATCTACAGTCTAAATATAGAATACTGATAAATATAAACAAGAAAAACACATGAAATATTTAGACAACTATTATGTAACAAAATAGAATACATATTCAATACTTATAATATCAATACTATAAATATGAATAAAGTCAAAGCAATTTTACAAATAGTATAAAATAAAGAAGACAAGATATTAGATATTTTAATTAATATAGTCAAACAATATGATAAGAAAGGTAAAAAGTGGACAACACAACAGTTACTTTAGCAAAAAGAAGAAACAAGCATTAACTATAAATATACACCTTCACCAAAAACATTTACAGTTATAGATAGTATAATTGCTAAAATATTAGGAGTAGATAGAGCAACCTTTTATAAAAAACGCATTCTAATATAACATATTACATACTTTTGGCAACAAGGTAATGGAAATAAAAAAGATCTATAACAACAGTTTCTAGAAGACAAATATTTAAATATTGTTAAAGGAAATAGTAACAAAGGAAAACAAAATATTTGTCAGTCCATGGAAATTATCATAAACTTAGATAATGAACAAATATTAGAAACTGAG